TTAGGCCGGCTTTCGACTTACTGACGGCGCGCGGTTGGTTCCGCGACATTCGCGATCAAAAAATCCCCGCCAGCCTCTCTGGTCTGGTCGCAAGTCGGGTCGCTCCTCATCTGCATCCAGTTCGACACCTGCGTGAACATATTCACCGGTGCCGCTTCGTGATGCCTACCGTCCGCGCCGTTTTGGTTTCGCTGAGTCCTCCCGGCTCTGTGCATGGCGTTGCTCACATGTTTGTGTTTCCTTTAACTTGTGGCGCGGCGTGCCCCTGTTTGCAAGCCGTTCGAGTCGCTTCGCGCGGGGCGCCCGCGTACCAAAAACATCCCCGCCAGCCCATCCAGACACGATGTGAGTGTTCCTTGAGGTTTCTCGGATGCTATCTTGAACCGCGTTCGGTTAGAAGGTGTCGAGGGCTATATTGAGCTTGGGGGTTATCCGAGGACCCCTTGGGGAGGGCAGGTGGTTGCTTCAATGTTCGCGGCTGACTGGTCAGGGTGAGCCTGGAACCGACTAGACATGCAACCGTGCGTTCGTCAAGGCGACGCCAGTTCCCACTCCGTCATCATCGGCCGCAAGTGCGCGCTGCTGTCCTGCAGACCCGCGCGGCGGTCAGCGCGCCGATGGTTTCGCGGACGCGCGGCGCCAAGTTGTGGAGGACAGCCACTTGCTCGCCACGTGCGAATTGCACATATGTTTTGCCGGCAGGGGAGGTAATTATCCCAATACTTTTGGGTTGAATAGTTGAGCCCAGCCAGTCAGTGGTTGCTGGCCCCGCCATTCTGCGAGAAGCGCACCGTTAACGACGCGTGCATCAAAGTGGCTGGGAATGACGACGACGATCCCCTCCACCGAAGCATCTTGCAAATTGCGGTCTTGCGAGCGGCTGGCAAGCAGCTCCCCGCCGTGGAGCGGCATGCCCTCCAATGGTGGTGTCCGTGGGCTACTGCTGGCCCAGATTTTTTGGCCCGCTCCGGCCAACCCGAATGTCTCGCTGCTTTTCTTGGAGTTCGCGATCGCGACATATTTGCACGCGCAGAAACGTCCCGGGAACGCCACAACCAGCGGCGAAAAGTGAGCGCCGCAAAAAAAAACTAGCGTTTGGACTAGTCGATTTTGTCCATGGCATTCCTGCAACGCGTCGTGAGGTTTCCAGAATGCGCGGATGTGGGGCCCAACGGGGCTCGGCAGGCGCTTGGGTTCCCGTGCGAGTTCGCGTTCATCGCGAAGGCGCTTGCAGGCCAAGCGCAGGCCACAGATTACTTGCGGCAAGGCCGCCCGTGGAGGCTGGCACCAAACGGCATGCTTTTGTTGAAAATCGACGCTCGTGCAATGCGATAAGCGAGCACGGCACTCGGGGCAGCCAGACTGTGGCAGGGCTTGTGGTCTCGGGTCACCGCGCGGTGGTCGTAGGAGGAGGAGGAGGAGGAGGGGGAGGAGGAGGAGGAGGAGGAGGAGGAGGAGGAGGAGGAGGAGGAGGAGGAGGAGGAGGAGAAGGAAGAGAAGGAAGACGAAACATGGGAGGAGGAGGAGGTGGAGGAGGAGGATGAGGTCGAGGAGGAGGAGGAGGAGGACGAGGAGGCAGGAGGCAGGAGGCAGGAGGCAGGAGGAGGAGGAGGAAAAGGAGGAATACGAGGAGGAGGAGGAGGAGGAGGAGGAGGAGGAAAAGGAGGAGGAGGAGGAAAAGGAGGAGGAGGAGGAGGAGGAGGAAAAGGAGGAGGAGGAGGACTCTAGCGGTGGCACAGTCATCGCGGAGGTCCGCGGCGCCCTTTTTACCCTGGCGTGCTCCTCTGCAGGGCGCTCGAGACGACGGCGCGCCTGCGGACCGAGGCGCCCGACACAGTCTTCAGGCCAGCACGGCGGTGGTCCCGGCGAGGGGTGTGCGGAGCCGAGGCCGCTGGGCCTGCCGGGGGGTCGCCAGGGCGTGTCCTTCTCTGGGATTCGCATACCGCCGGTCCAGAAGGGGCATTTTTGTAAAACGACGCGAAGATCGGGACAAAATCGGATCGGGATAACTCGAAATCTCTGAGAATCGGCGGGTTTGGAGGATGTATTGGGCGCCGCGGCCGCTCCAGAGCGTTCTGGAACGCTCTGAGAGCGCTCCGGAACGCTCTGGAGCGATTTATCCCGATCCTAGCCCTTTTTTTTAAATCTGCAGATAGAAAAGCACACCGGTCCCGATACTTGGCGAGACGGCACTGGGCGGTTACTGAGCAGCCCTGCTCCGTTCGATTCCTGCCTGCAGGTGCGCCTGCGAAGCGGCTTCGCTGGTCGGGCTCCTCACTCCTTTTGGGGGTGGCTGTTCTGCTCCCAGGGTCTGGGCGAGGGGTGGGCTGGACCGAGGCTGCTGGGCCTCCTCTCCAGGGGGGCGCCAGGGCGTGCTTGTTTTTGTTTTGTTTGTTATTGTTTTTGTCTCTCTTTTTTGTTCTGGGGTTCGACGCCGGCCTGGGCGGCGCGCGGCCGCGATGGCGCGACGCCGCAGGGTCGCACCTTGACCGCCGCCTGGCGGGGCCGCTGGGCAGGGCAGGGCACATGTCGCTTCCTCCGACTCGATTGGATTCGATGTCGTTGGATTTTGGGTGCGATCCTAGCTCCTCGATTCCGGATCTTTGATGCCGATCCGATTCGATTTGATTTCGATTCGAAGAGAGCTTCTTATTTGGGATCCAATGTCTCTATAGAGGCTTGCTGGCCTGCCGACGTCTGCCGATGCAACTTTTCCCGACTCAGCTGCCGATTCTCGTCGATCCGGTTCACGTCGATCGCCTATCCGACTTGTCGACTCGATTCGCGGCTCTTCTGGGGAGGGGCGGGGGCGGGGCTCGGAGTTGTACCTGTAGGACGCTTGGTGGCATAACCTCAGGTAGTTGTTAAGATCCCCCCCCCTTCCGGTGAAAGGATGACACTTCGGGCACCCTGAAAGCGCTACCTCGGCACCGGAGGAGCCCGCAGAGGGGCCAAGCGTTAAGCCTTGCTGAGCCCTGCTGGCTCCCGCTAAGCCCAGCTAAGCAATGAAAAGCCAGGCTCGCCCCCTGCTGATCGGGCCGGACGAAAGGGGGGGATTGGGAAAGGGGGGGTTACGAAATCTGCTGCACGCAGCTGGTTTCGGCCCCGCCGAGGGGCCCATTCCTCGATACATGGGCGCCTCCCGGCGCCGGGAGGTGCCGGGGGAATCAGCTACGTGAGCTGATTCTCAACCCCCCCCTTTGCTATCCCCCCCTTTCGCCCGGCCCGAGCTGAGCCCTGCTCGCCCCTGCTGAGGCCGCAGAGAGCACTCGGGGCCCAGCTAAGGCCTGCCCAGCGCGGGTTTGCTCCTGCCAAGCAGGGGCCAGCAGGGCCTAGCAGGGCTTACCAGGGCTTGGCAGGGCTTACCAGGGCTCACCAGGGCTCGCCAGGGTTTAGCAGGGCCTACCAGGACCTAGCAGGTTCTAGCAAGGCTTAACACGGCCTAGCAGGGCTTAGCAGGGCGCAGCAGGGCTTAACAGGGCGTAGCAATGCTCAGCAGGGCTTAGTAGAGCTTAGCGGGGCTTAGCAGGGCTTTGCAGGGCTTAGCAGGGGTTAGCAAAGCCTAACAGGGCCTAGCAGGGCTTAGAATGGCTTGGCAGATAACGCGGGGGTGCCGGGCGGGGGGATTCCCTGGGCTGGATTATTATTATTATTATTATTATTATTTTTATTTTGATTGTGAATGTTATTATTCGTATTCTTACTACTATTAATGTTGCGATTCTTATTCGTATTAGTACTATTGCTCGCATTCTTAATCGTAGTATTACTTGCATGTACACTCTTGTTCGTACGCTTGGTATTATTATCCGTATGAGTACTATTGTAGTTTTATTAGTATTGTGATAATCTATTACTCGGTCTCTCTGGATTTTTAGCGCCTCCGGGTGCTAAGATAACGCTCCTGTTCGGGGCGGGGGGCGATACCCCTGGATGGACCCCCCCCCTAGAAAATGGCCCGCGGAAATCATTTTCCCCAATGGGGCTGAACAAAGAAACGCAGAGGAGGAGGAGGAGGAGGAGGAGGAGGACGAGGACAATTCCAGGCTCTCGGCCGAGAGCGCGCAACTCAGCCATTCGGATTTCTCCTGAGGGTTCTCCCCAGGTGTCTCGGATCATTGGAATCGGGCCCTTGGGATTCTTTCGGCAATTCTTTGCTGGTCCGTAACATGTTCTAGGACATGCATAGCATATGCAAATGCTTCGTGCGGCGCGGGTGATGGGTGGTCTTAGTTCGTAGACTTTCCTCGGAAATCCCTGGCATGTCTTCGGACAACCTTCGCCTTTTCCTAGGACATCCATATCGTTTCATTTTAAATGTATTTGCATTTCCTATGGAATCCGTTGCACATCTTTAGAACATCCCTGGCATGTCCAAAGGGACCCATTGCATTTCGCAGGACATCCTTGACATGTCATAAGAAACCCATAGCGTTTCCTAGGACATGCATATCGTTCCATGCGGAAGTGCTCAGCATTTCCTGGGGAAACCTTTGCACATCTTAGAGCATCCCTGGCATATCCTAGGGAATCCTTGGCATTTCGCAGGATATCCCTAACATGTCATAGGAAACCCATCGCCGCCCGAAGGAAATTCTGAGCATGTCCTTAGCATGTCTTCAGCATTTCCAAGGAAATGCGGGGGGTGCTTAGCATAGCCTGAGAGTCTCCGCTCCTTGCTATTTCCCAGGCAATGCGAGCGATGCATAGCATATCCAGAGGCATCCCCACGGATTTCTGTTTCCGCGTCCTGCGTCGCGCGACGCGCCACATAATTTGTTTGTCCTGATTTGTGCGCGGTGCTCAAACTATCGCTCTGCGAAAACGTCCCTTGAAATCATTTAAATACTTATTCGGTGCTAGCGATAAACCCGGGGGGGGGGGGTTCTTGACAACCTCCTGAGGTTACGTTCGTTCGGCAGGGGGCCCAGATTCCAGATCGTGGCCTGTTTGTTGCAGCCCCCTTCCCCCTGCACGCGCCAGCCTTGCTGTCATGCGAGGCCGGCTGGTCGACTTCAAAAAAGGAGTGGTGCTGCATCAACAAGGGCTTGGGGTGCCAGGGGGACGCCAAGGACGGCAGTTGGCATCCACCTTTCTAGCAGAGAGGGACGAGGAGTATCTTCTCTTGGACCATTCGCTTCGCAGAAGAAGATGGAGGGAGAGGGGGTAGCACAAAAGGGGGGAATAGCAAGACGTGAACGGGGGAGGGATGGAGGAGGCAGGGGGGCTGCAGCCGAGAATCGCCAATCAGGTGTTCTGTCAATCTCTCGCACAGTATGGTTTCCATCCTTCTGCAGAGCGCGTTGCCCCTTTATCCTCAAATAATACACGCTTGTCTTGCAGTCTCTCCCCCTATCTCTCTCTCTCTCTCTCTTGGTTCCCTCCCTTTCTCTCCCTCTTCCCCACCCGTCACTCTCTACCCATATCCTACATACTACACGTGCCGACATTCTATTTGTTCGCACGTATATATTTCCGCGTGGTGGTGCTGACATATAGCTGCACAGATGTTGTATTACTTGTCTGCATCCTTGTGTTATCCGTGAACTTCTCTCTGTCAATTTATATGTCTAGTCATATCCCCTCGACCTGTCGTCCGACCAGCGCCTTACCTCCCCTCAATGTGTTCATATCTACCACGCCTTAACCCCCCTGCACCCAGATCCCCTCCGCACCCTCACCGCCTCCCCACAACCCAACCCCTACGCACCCTCTCTGCAGCTCCCTCGCTGTCCTACGTCTCCTCCGCGGCCTTTCTGGCGCCCCTATAATGCTGGTGGTAGTGATGGTGATGGTGTTGGTGTTCGTAGTAGTAGTAGTAGTAGTAGTAGTAGTAGTAGTAGTAGTAGTAGTAGTAGTAGTAGTAGTAGTAGTAGTAGTAGTAGTAGTAGTAGTAGTAGTAGTAGTAGTAGTAGTAGTAGTAGTAGTAGTAGTAGTAGTAGTAGTAGTAGTAGTAGTAGTAGTAGTAGTAGTAGTAGTAGTAGTAGTAGTAGTAGTAGTAGTAGTAGTAGTAGTAGTAGTAGTAGTAGTAGTAGTAGTAGTAGTAGTAGTAGTAGTAGTAGTAGTAGTAGTAGTAGTAGTAGTAGTAGTAGTAGTAGTAGTAGTAGTAGTAGTAGGAGGAGGAGGAGGAGGAGGAGGAGGAGGAGGAGGAGGAGGAGGCAGGAGGAGGAGGCGGAGGCGGAGGCGGAGGCGGAGGCGGAGGCGGAGGCGGGAGGAGGAGGAGGAGGAGGAGGAGGCGGAGGCGGAGGCGGAGGCGGAGGAGGAGGAGGAGGAGGAGGAGGAGGAGGAGGAGGTGTCTGCAGGCCCGGTGTCCCCGAGGAGTCTTGGACGGTGTGCGACGGCGACGACAACTGCGGCAGCAATTCCTTCCTGCAGAAGTGGGACAGGAGCCCCAGGAGCTCATTTGAATGCGGCAGCCCTCCCGCCGTTGGACGATCGCCCCAATCAGCGCCAGCGTACTGAGGAGAGGAGAACCTGGAGGAACAGCGAGGTCAAGAGGAGCACGAGGCGGAGCAGCGAGGCCATGAGGAACACGAAGACCCTGACATCCTCGCGTCGTGAACATATCATATCACTGTTAGAAAACGTGGAGCACAACAGTGCGTTATTGCACTCTGGAGGTGAATCCAGTGCGGTGTAAGCAATGTGGCGTGAGATGTGGTTGGTGGGGGTAAGACTATGCGGTGTGAGCCATGCCCTGAAAGCTGTGCGGTGTGAACTGGATGTGTGAGCTGCGGGGCGCACGCTGCAAGGTGGAGCCGCTGTGGTGCAAGCTTTGAGGCGAGAGCTGCGTGGCGCAAGCTGTGCGGTGAGCGAGCTGCGTGGTCAGAGGCATGCCAGGAGGCGTAGAGCGCCGGGGGGCCCACGAGGCGGCTCGGGCGGCCACGCGACGCGACCTCGGGACGCCCACGATGCGCCCACGAGGCGGCACCGTGGCGCCGCGCCCACGAGGCGCCGAGGACGGCGCCGCGGCGCAGCCTCGAGGAACCCACTCGGCGCACGGGGCGACCACGGGATGCCCATCGTGCGCCCCCGAGGCGGCACCGGTGGCACCGGTCATGGATGCTGGGGGAGCCCGCCGAGCCACTCAGGGAACAGCAGGGAGAGCCCCTAGATTCGATGCGGGCGATGCCCTGGGACAGATGCGCACGGCGGGAGGTTTTTTTTTTTGGTTGGCAGTTGTTTGTGCACTTGTGGGCCCTCGCCGGGCCGCAGGACGGACAACAACAACGACTCAGGATGAGAAGCCTGTCACCCCCACAGGAAGGGGCCCAGACATTCTGGGAGGCCACGGTGTCTGAAGAGGGGGACAGCGACAACGAAGCCGTCGAGGGTGGCGAGCAGGAGTGGAGCAGGGGCCCGAGGAGGAGCACTCCTGGGGAGAGGAACTGCTCCCGCCCGGCATCGAGACCTCGAGGCGCCCAGGCCGAAGGCCGCCAGACCTGTCTCGGGGAGCGCCCTGGGCCGAGCCCGTTGGCAGCACCCCTTTTGGACCAAGGCCGTTCTTCTCCTCCTCCTCCTCCTCCTCCTCCCCCTCCTCCTCCTCCTCCTCCTCCTCCTCCTCCTCCTCCTCCTCCTCCTCCTCCCAGCGCCCCTCCGCCACTGGCGCCCCCCTGCCGCCCCCTCCGCCACTGACTGCCGCTGGTCCTCTCCCGCGCCCGCCCCGGCGTGCGTGCGCGGCGGCCCCGGTGGGCCATGGAGCCCGTGGAGGAGGAGGAGTAGGAGGAGGAGGAGGAGGAGGAGGGAGTAGGAACGGGAGGAGGAGGAGGCGGGAGGAGGAGGAGGAGGAGGAGGAGGAGGAGGAGGGCGCGTTCGACGGACTCTCAGGACGCCAGGAACCAGGAGGAAGAGGAGGAGGAGGAGGAGGAGGAGGAGGAGGAGCAGGAGGAGGAGGAGCAGGAGGAGGAAGAGCAGGAGGAGGAGGAGGAGGAGGAGGAGGAGGAGGATAAGGAGGGGGAGCAGTAGGAGGAGGAGGAGCGGGGAGGATCGTCGGACGGGGCTGGGACGAGTACAACTCCATTCCAGAGCGTTCCGGAACGCTCTGGGAAGGCTCCCGAGACTTCCCCCGAAGCCGCCAGATCTAAGAGAGTCTCAATCTTTTTTCACCCCAGGTTATCCTCGTCCTGGCTTCGGGGGGGGGGGGGGTAGAGCAGGAGCAGCACCCGCAGGTGCAGTCGGGAGGATGTGGAGGAGGAGGCGGCGCACCTGCGGCTGACGCTTCGAGCTCTCGCACTCGCGGCGTGCCCAAGAGGCGACGTACCTAGGGCAGGACGAGCGAACCACCCGATACGAGCGAGCCCGAGGAGGACGGGGCTATACAGGGCAGGCGGGAGAGTCCGAAGGGCAGCTGATCTAATGAACAAAAATCCTCGTGCCCTTCTTGCGGGATGACAAGGACATGAGGAGGAGGGAGGAGGAGGAGGAGGAGGAGGAGGAGGAGGAGGAGGATCGGCCACGCGCGGAGGGAGGAGGTTGGGGGAGGGGGGAAGGCTTCTTAGGAGCACCCCTACTCCTTTGAGAATGCGCGGGCCTTGTCTTTAGATGCAGGACCTGCGCCTTCTAAGAAGCAGCCTCCTTCTAAGGCGCCTCCCCCCCTCCCCCTATCCCCTTGTGCGCGCTGCCAGGAGGAGGAGGAGGAGGAGGAGAAGGAGGAGGGGGTTGAGGAGGAGGAGGTGGAGGAGGAGGAGGAGGAAGGAGGAGGAGGAGAAGGGCGAGGAGTAGGAGGAGGGGTGTCGGGTGCACCTGTCCCAAGGCGGCTGGGATTTAAACTCCCTCGGTGGCAGCCTGGGGTACACGTTTTCCAGCCGCCCTGGGACCGGCGCCCCACACCTCGGAGCTATGTCATGTTGTTCTTCGCCGCTCACAGAGGAGGAGGAGGAGGAGGAGGAGAGGAATGAGGAGGAGGAGGACGAGGACGACGACGAGGACGCGGACGACGACTACGATGACGACGAGGACGAGGACGAAGACGAGGACGACGGGCGGAAAGGACGAGGACGGACGACGATCACGACGACGAGGGCGAGGGCGAGGGCAAGGGCGAGACTGTGCAGGAGGAGGAGGAAGAGGAGGAGGAGGAGGAGGACGAGAAGTAGAAGGAGGAGGAGGAGGAGAACGGCGACGCGCAGGGACGGACGACGACAGTGCACCCTCGCGACTCCCTGCGGCGACGACGCGGTCGGTGTCGGCGGGCGGCGGCCGCGGCGGCGGTCCACTTGCGCGCGCTGCCTGCGGCGGCGACGTCGTGCGGCGGCAGGTGCGCTCGGGGGCAGCGCTACCCCCGTCGGTCTTTGAAAGTACTCCAAATCCCTTGTTAATCGATCCCCCCCCCTAAAAAACCGAACCCCCTCAAAATGCGACCTAAAATTCCGGACCCCCCTCTTCGACGGGGCGCCTTGATGAAGCGGACCCCCTGATCTCCAACCCAGAGAAGGCGGCCTACTAAACCGAACCCCCCCAATTGCAAAAAAGACGCCTTGAAAAACCGCCGGACCTGGGGGACGATTGATATAAGGCATTTGGGGCGCCGAAGTCCCAAGCTACGCGTAGGCGCCCCTGTGGGATCCCCACGCGAGGGGCTGCTTCCTCTGCCTCGTCCTCCGCCCGCCCCGGAGCTGCTGTGCTCGGAGGCGCGTGTCGTCGCCTGGGTGAGGAGAGCGCCGAGGCAGTGGAGAGCGTGTCCTGTGGTGATTCTGACACCACAGACTGCGGAGGCGTGACTTTTTATGTCACTGATGCTGGTGTCAACAAAAGTCAGGAGACAAGTGGTGCTCGCCCTCCGCCCCCAATTTCGTGGGGCGGGCGGGATAAAAAGCAATCCACTTCCAGCGCCTGCCTGCTCCAGGCTCCTGCCCACTTCTTCCGACCGGCGGGTATGGGTGGATGGGCCTCAGTGTGCCCTGGAAACGGCAGGGCCGTTTTTCGATTGTTTCCGAAACAGTGTCTCTTGCAAACGGAAACGGCAAAAAGACGGCGACCAGAAACGGCAAAACAAAACGGCTCCATGATTGGAACCTCAGCCAGAACCGGTAACAGAAACGGCGACGGAGCCGGTAACAAAACACGGCTTCGGAGCGGGCAGCAAACACGGCACAACGGAACAGGTAACAAAAAAATATTTTCTTTTTTCCAGGGCCCACTAACGTATGGGCACACGTGACACGGGGGTCGGAGGTTGATAGACCTCCTACCCCGACGCGTCGATTAGCGAATTGGCCGTGTTGGGGTTCGCGAGAGGGCGTCGGGGCCGTCGTTTTTTTGCGGGTCCAGGTCCGTCGGTTTCGGTCCCAGGCCGCTTTCACTAAAGGGCAGTTTACTAAAGAGAGGTTTGTCCACCAGGGCTGGACCTAAACGCTGTTTTGCTGGACTTCGGTTGTGTGTGTTGTGTTTCGTTGTGATAGGGAGGCACAGGAGAACAGGTAGAGCAAAACGAACAACAAAGCGAGAACATAACTATCAACACAAGTCTAGGTCCAGCGCTGTTGTCCACCGCCGAGGGAGATGCATCACCGCCCAGTCGCCCACCGATTGCCGAATGGGGGTCCGATAATCAGCCGCACCCCGCGCAGCCACGTGCGGAATCTTATGGTGTTCCAACTTTAGCCTTGATCCCCAGAATTTCGAGCACCAGCGACAAGTACCGAAACTCGAGGGGGTTTTCACGTGCCGGGCCCTGGGAGACACTGCTCCGACACTGTTTCGACAGCTGCTCCTTCGACACTGTTTCGACACATTTCCAGGGGCTCGACACTGTTTCTGGGATGTGGTCCTGAAGCTCGATGGGAGCCACAGAAGCGGAGACACCACGTCGGGGGCCCGCTCGCCGAGCCGTCGGCGAGGTGTCGCCGAGTCCAGGTCGCTGTTCCGCCCCCCCCCCCGACAGTGGAGGCCCATGCCAAGAAGCACCCGGCTTGCCTCCAGGGCGCCCCGGCTTTCTTGGGAGGTTTTGCGATGGAAGGCGCGACGCTCCCACAGCAGAAGTCGATGGACGTCCTGGGGTCTCCAGGCTGGGTTTCGTGTGGAAGGTTTCTTGTGGACTGGCCTCCTCTGTATGCCAGTCCCCCCCTATCGTTTGGGTCGGCCTGCTCGCTCTGTTACCAGCCCTCACCTTGAGCCCCCCAGCCTAAATAAGCACATGCCTAGGCACGGCCGTGCCGATGCCTCGGATGCCTAGGCATCCGCATGAGTATGCCTACGCATGCATCGAGGGATGCGTCCATGGACGTAGCTGGCCGTAGCTGGGCGTAGCCGATGCCTTGGCATCGACCTGGTGATGCGTAGGCATCGCGCTGGCGATGACTCGGCATCGGCAGGAGGGTGTGCAGGGTAAGCATCGGTGGTTCAACGTACCAGAGCCGTTGGGCCGATTGTTTGAGTAGTTGTTGACTATCTTTGAGTATTCTTAGTGCATGTTTTTCTTTCCTCCCAAATCCGCCTGCAGGGAGACATGCCCGACCTAACCCTATCGTTGCCCCTCGTGCGCGGGCCTGCAGGGAGCTGGCGTCGGAGGTGGACGGCGGCCTCGCGAGCGTGCCGGGCATCCCGCAGCAGGCCGGGCGTCGCGCTGTATCCCGCCAGGGCGGGGCCGTCCAGCAGTGCGGCAGTGGCGAGGCGTCTTGGCTTGCCTGTTGGCTACCAGAGAATGTTCTCGGAGCCATGGTTTGCGCGACGTGCTTTCAGGGCATCTATGGCTAAGTCGGGTATATCCCTCTACAGGAGGAATGTTCAAACGTAGTAGAAGAAATAGTCAGGGGACGAAGTTTTGGGTATTTGTATTTTTTGTTGGTATGGTTATGTTTTCTCATTTTCGTCAAACGTCCGCCTGTATGGGGACATGCCCGACCTAACTATATGGCTTCCGATCGCGAATCCCGGGAGCCTTGTATACCCTCTTGAGTCCTCTAGCGTCGACCAGCATGGATTAGCGTCTGGGAGTCGATGAGATAACCCGGTCTAGCGTCGATCAGCGTCGATGTAGCGCCGATGTGCGTAGGGCTCCCATGAGTTGCCACCGAAGGTGGTTGAGACCTTGCACACGCCAGCTCTATGTTCTAAGAGAGGAGGAGGAGGAGGAGGAGGAGGAGGAAGAGGAGGAAAAGGAGGAGGAAGAGGAGGAGGAGGAGGAGGAGGAGAGAGGAGGAGGAGGAGGAGGAGGAGGAGGAGGAGGAAGGAGGTAGGAGGAGGAGGGATGATGAGGAGAGAGGGATGGCAGAGGAGAAGGGAGGAGGCGGAGGAGGAGGAGGAGGCGGCGAGCGGAGGAGGAGGAGGAGAGGAGGAAAGGAGGAGCAGGAGGAGGAGGGAGGAGGAGGAGGAGGAGGAGGAGGAGGAGGAGGAGTCTATCCCTGCACGCTCTGCGCGTTCTGTTAATTTCAGTTCAGTTCAGGAGGAGGAGGATGAGGAGGAGGAAGCAGGAGCAGGAGCGGAGCAGGAGCAGGAGCAGAGCAGGCGAGGGAGGAGAGGAGGAGGAGGTGAAGGAGGAGGGGAGGAGGTGTGGGACGGGGAGGAGGAGGAGGAGGAGGAGGAGGAGGAGGAGGAGGAGGAGAGGAGGAGGAGGAGGAGGTTCAGGAGGAGGTTCAGGAGAGGAGGAGGAGGAGAGGAGGAGGAGGAGGAGGAGGAGGATGAGGAGAGGAGGGGGAGGGGGAGGGGGGGAGGGGGAGGGGGAGGGGGGAGGAAGGGGAGGGGGAGGGGGGGAGGGGGAGGGGGAGGGGAGGGGGAGGGAGGAGAGGAGGAGGAGAGAGGAGGAGGAGGAGGAGGAGAAGAGGAGGAGGAGGAGGAGGAAGGAGGAGGAAGGAGGAGGAGGAGGAGGAGGAGAGGAGGAGGAGGAGGAGGAGGAGGAGGAGAGGGGGAGGAGGAGGAGGGAGGAGGAGGAGGGAGGAGGAGGAGGGGAGGGGGAGGGGAAGGAGGAGGCGGAGGTGGAGGAGGAGGAGGAGGAGGATGAGGAGGAGGAGGAGGAGGACCGTGCCTGCTTTTCGCACATCCTGCTGTTCTGGTATGTCTCGTGGCAGGGCTGCAGGAGTGCTGGGACGCTCGCCCCCTTGCTCCGACAGGGGTAAGGCGCGTGCTCTTCGACGCCTCGTTGCCTCGAGGCGCTCTGCGTCAAGTCGGGCACGTCCCCCTACAGGAGGAATCTCCAAAAGTAGTCAAGATGTCGGGGAATGTTTATTCTTTGGATATGCTTGTGCATTTGCTGATTCTTGCGAAGGCCTTACGATTGGTGCCTCCGACTCTGAGACGGCGACGACGACGATGTTGAGCAGAAGGTGTCGGAGAGCGCTAGGGAGCAGGAGGGGCGAGTCGGGGGACTTGTTCGTTGACCATTTGTTGGCTGTGTTTGTGTATTGTTAGACTCTGTTTTACATTTCCTCCAGAATCTGCCTGCAGGGGGACATGTCCGACCTGATGCTCTGCGGCAGCTGCGCCCCTCCGCAGAATTGCCAGGGTTGCCCAGGTTGTCTGGAGCAGCCGCTGGAGCCGATAGCCACCAAGCATCAAAAGGGGGGCGTCGCCGGCCCTTGGCCAGGTCGAACCTCCATGGAGGATCGTGGTTCGTGGATCGAGGGCGGAGGCTCGAGGTTGGAGTTATGATGTCCCAGCTTATTTTAGCCTTGAGTACTAAAAAAATCGAGCACCAAGAAAGTACCGACACCAGAGGGTTTTCACGTGCTGGGCCCTGGGAGGCTTGTGCTCGAGATTATCTCTGGGATGCGGCCCTCAGGTAAAACGGGAGCACCACGAGGCTGCAGGCCCGAGGCTCGAGCCTCGAGGTCGGAGAGTCGTGGCTCGGGGCTCGGGGACGAGGTGGGGCGTGTGCGGCTCGCGGGTGTGTGTGGCCAGACCCGCGCCTCGTCGGGGTCGTCCGAGAGGGCGAGGGGCGGGGGGCCAAGGAATCTCACGGCGCCAAGGTCGAGGGCCAGGGTAGTTACCTCCCCCACGGAGGACCCAGATATCGCCGTGGAGGTAGAGGCCCTCTCTCGCGCACGGAGCCCAGGTCCAAGGTATCTTCGGAGGCGGCCAGGAGGGGGGTGATGACTAGAGGAGGGGGGGATGTCATGGCGGGGGCCATGATATGTTCCCAGACTTCATGGCGCCTCCTCTTGTTTCATCACGCCCCTTACCCCCCCCCCCCGGGCCGCGCGCATGCCGCCGGTCATGATCTGCACCACTCCCCCTCTTGGACACGTCCTCTTGGCCGCCGCCGATAGCTACCAAGGTAGAGGCCCTCTCGGAGGTGGGTGAGGGCCGAGGTATCTCCCGGCGCGAGGTGGGTGAGGGCCACGGGGAGACCGTCATAGCCGGGGCCAAGGTATCTCCCCAGATGTCGTGGGCCCACCTTCTTTTCCCCTTGCGCTTCGCATGATTTCTCTGTTTTCCTCGGCCTCTTGTTATTCGAGTAGGGGATCGTTTGCAGAATTGATGTATCCCAGAATGGATTTGAGCGCCGAGTCCATGAAACATGCGTATAACATGCTCGTAGACCTGCGAACGTTTTACGTAGGACTCGACGAGGGAATCAAGCTTGGGGTACATCAAGTTCTGTAGACGACCCCCTACGGTAGGTTCGCGCAGCGTTGGCGCGCCGGCGACGGCGGCGAAGGCGCTCAAGGTTGAATTCTGCGTCGCGGAAGCGCCGAGGGACACGACAACGCCACTGGGCCCCGACGGAGTTCAACCTGGAACGATCGGGGCCGCGATCGATTCGAGGCTGAACGATCGACGCGGAAGCGCCGAGGCACACGACAACGCCATTGGGCCCCGACGGAGTTCAACCTGGAACGATCGGGGCCGCGATCGATTCGATCGGTTGAACGATCGACGCGGCGTCAGAAACCTCTGCGCGCGCGCCGACGCCGCACTTCCGCCTCCCCCTCTCGTCCGCGCGCGCGCCTCGGGCCGTACGCTCTGCAGAGGGCCCCTCTCTGGGACGGCGCCCTCCTTGGGACGCCCCCGACGCCAGGGGCAATTCGGGCGTGCCCCCCCCCCCCCCCCCCCCCCTACGGGAGGAGTAATCAGAAATAGTCAACAATAGATAGTCGAAGACGATTTGTTTGTGACCACATCTCCGACTTCTCTTGGATGTTTCTGGGCTGTTTTTGACTGGCTTCGTCCAAGGTCCGCCTCTGGGAGGACGTGCCCGACCTCACGCCAGGGGTCAGGGAGGACGCTCGCCGCGCCGAGCGCGGGAGGTGCCCGACGCCAGGGGGAGGTCGGCCGTGTCCGTCCGCAGGAGGATCCAAAAGGGACGACGGTTGGAACATGTTTGAGACTATTGTGTTCAGGAGGGCAGAAAACACACAGACACAATTCATCGTCGATTCCCCAGAAAATATGGGAACATATGGGAAGTGGGGGGGAAGACAAAACCCCAGAACATATGGGAAAATATGGGGAATCATTTTATTTGTGTGTACTTATTTGTGTGTCCCATGGCCCCTTCATGTGTGATGCATCTGCTGGCGATTGTTTTGATCGGTTCGTCCAAGCTCCGCCCCCAGGCGTCGTCGAGCAGTGGCGCGGCGCCCCGGGCTGTGCGGCTGCCCCCGCCCCGCAGGCCCACCGAAGAATGCTCTAAGAGCCTTTGGTGGCTGGGGCCGTCTCGTTTCAACGCATCGGGCTCATGCTCTAAGAGCTGCTTGTCGCTTTGTGTTCTTTCGACCACTCTTGGGCTCTGGGAACACTCCGCGGCAGGCCACATAGGAATCCCGGGACGGTCGGCCCCTGCTCAAAGGAGGACGCGCCCGACCCAACGCCAGGGCTCCGGGAGGACCCTCGCCGCGCCGCGCGCGAGAGGCACCCCGCGCTCGACCGCAGAGCGCGACCTCAGCGCGGCGGCGCGCGCCAGGGGGGGGGGGGGACTTTTTCGGCCCCGAGGCGTAAGTCGGGCCTGCTCCCTCACAGGGGGATTTTCGACGAAAAATTAAAAATACCAAAAACATAGTCAGAAAATAGTCCAAGAATAGTCTGGGGACTATTTTTGGAGTATTTTTGGACCTTCTTGGAGCATTTTTATAGTATTTTTTTTTTGTTCGTTGAAAATCCCCGTGTAGGGGGACATGCCCGACAGAACCCGAGGCCCGCGGTGTTGTCGGGCGGCCTCCGGCGCCTCCGGGCGGTCTCTCCCGGCGCCTCGGCGTGCGCTCTCCGGCAGCCGCGCCTCGCCCAGGGATGCAGCGCATGGAAAAGCAATCAAGATGGAGGTTTTGCGCCACTGTCGGCCTCCAGGGCTATGACGTTCCAACCTATTATAATTAGTCTTGGCCAGCACCAGGAGTGTCAAGCACCAGGAAGGTACCGAAACTCGAGGCCTGTCACGCGTGCGGGCCCTGGGAGGCACTCGTTCGACACCGCCTTGACACTGCTCCGACACTTCCTCGACCCTTTTCCCGGGTGCTCGGGATTAGTGGGACGTGGTCCTGAAGTACGCTGGGAGCAACAGGACTCTGTCGGACTCTATAGGGGCCCTCCCGGGCCCCAGGACCGTCAACAAAACGACCCAGGCTGAAAGACCGGTCCTGGGGAATGGGTCGAGACCTCGGGGCGCACCGCGCATGGTC